GTACACACACACATAAAATATATACATACACATGCACGCACTCAATCACTCACTAACGTAGGCACGCACACATACTCACTCACCCAATCTCTTCCTCCTTCACTCCCTCCCCTTTCCACCCTCCCTCTCCCTCTCTCCTCCTCCCCCTCTCTCCCTCTCCTTCTCCCTCTCTCCTTCCCTTCCCTTTCTCCCTCTCCTTCTCCCTCTCCCTCTCTCCTTCCCCTCCCCCTCTCTCTCCCCTTCTCCCTCTCCCTCTCTCCCTCTCCCGCCCTCTCCCCCTCCCTCTCCTTCTCCCCCTCCACCTCTCCCTCCCTCTCTCCCTCATGCGTCCGAAAAGGGAATTGTGAAATTTACACAAGGAGAAAAGCAAAGGAGCAAAGAAGAAATGGAGAGAAGGAAGAAGAGGAAGAAAAAGAAGAAAAGGAAGAAGGAGAAAAAGAAAAAGAAGAAGAAGTGGAAAGGAGTGTGGGGAGGAGGGAGGAAAATTAGAGAGAAAGAGGAAGGTAGATAGGGAGGAAAGGATAAAGAAGAGAATCATAGAAGGGAGTATAGGAGAGAAGCAAGAAAGAAATGGAAGGGAGAGACAGCAATAAACGGAGAGAAAGGAAAGAGGAAAGAAAAGGACGAAGGGGGAGGAAGAAAGAAAGATTAAAGGAAAAGAAGGAATAGAAAAGGAAACATTATCTTTTCTTATATTACTGTACCAAAAAAAAAAAAGAAAAAAAGTTGAAAGAATAAAACTTTCTCATTAGCAGGAGACAAGATATTCCCAAAGTAAGAGTGACAGTAAATATAAAAAAAACTTTATATATATTTCCTACAATTCCTTCCTTGAGTAAGAGTAATAGTAAATATATAAAAAAAATCATATCATTCCTATAATTTTATCATACTTAATTTGAATATTACAATTTTTTTGGCTTATTTGCCATATGGATTAATTCAAAATACCAAGAAATTCGAGATAACTATATGGGTTTCTAAGAAAACGAAAAAAAAGTGAATATAATGATTTTGTAGCAGATTCGTTCGTCTGAATTTATACGTTTCTCCAGAGAGCTAAATGTTTTTATAAATTCCTCTTGTTGATGATTAATTACTGGTAACTAAAAATATGAGGTTAATCATTATCATTATTATCATTATCATCATTCTCTTGGTCATTATTGTTTTTTAAATATTTGATATTTTTGATATCTAATATGGTATTTATATATTTAAAAAAATATATATGTTTTATCGTCATTATTTTGAATAGATATCGCTACCATTATTTTCAGTTATTTTTATTGTTCTCACACTGATTATCTTCACTATCATTATCATAACGATTATTGTTTCCATTCCTGTTATCATCGTTTTCATTATCAGTAACGTTATTCCAGCAGTACATAGACATTATCATGATTTCTCTGTTATTATCATCATTATCATTTTTATTACTGCTATTCGTATTCCCATAATTACTTTCAGTGAACATATACTATTACTCTTCATATTACCTTATCGAAACTAGCAGAAAGGAATTTGAATAAGAATAATGATAATAAGAATATGATAATAAAATTAATGAAGGAGGCAGACAGAGAGAGAGAGAGGAGGGAGAGAGAGAGAGAGAGAGAGAGAGAGAGAGAGAGAGAGAGAGAGAGAGAGAGAGAGAGAGAGAGAGAGAGAGAGAGAGAGAGAGAGAGAGAGAGAGAGAGAGGCAGAGACACAGAAAGACAGAGAGAAATAAAGAGAAAGAAAAAAAAGAAATAGAGAGAAAGAGAGAGAGAGAGAGAGTCAGACACACAGAAAGACAGAGAGAAATAAAGAGAAAGAAAGAAAAAAGAAACATAGAGAAAGAGGGAAATAAAAAAGAAAATAGAAATAAAGAGAAAAAGAGAGAGAGAAAGAAAAAATAAACTTTCACATAAATGGAACAACTCTACGAAACGCAACATACGTCACACCACCTCCTCACCCACTCACCCAACACGCCCCTTAGACACACACTACCACCCAAAAAAGTGACGCAATCCACTCTCAAAGAACCCTATTACATATAAATCTTTGAAGACCTCTAAAAAAGAATCCCATTCATCATAAGAGCTTAAGACTCTCCATTGTTTACATAAGAGCATGAGATGTAGGTTGGTTAAGAGACAGACGTGACCTTAAATTCTGTAAAGGGACTATATAAGTTATCGACTGAATTAGGCAAGTATTTCGTTACGAATAGAAAGGCGGAGGACAGATGAAGGACGGAAGGAGATGAGACAGAACAGTAGATAAGGGAGAGAAAGAGAAGAGGAAAAGAACAGAAAAAAAACAAAAACAGAACAGGAGTGTCAACGAAAGCAACAGCACAGAAGGAAAAGAGACAGAATAGCAGACAAGGAAGAGAAGGAGAAGGAACAGAAAAGAACAGAAAAATAGAACAAGAGTGTCAACGGATGTAGCAGCAATAACGACCACCACACTAAAACGGAAAACAGAGGGTCGTTAAAAAGGGAAGGAC